ATACATGATGACTAATAATGATAATGAATACGTTTATCTATACGACTATAATTGATACCCGTAGATACTATTATGAATTACATGATACTTTTAATCATAATATTAATATACTAATAATATAAATAAACAAGGAATACTAGATAACTAATACCTATGAGAGTGGAGTTTCGGAGGGGGCGGTGATATTACTATACTATAACTTATACGCATATGATTGAGTGGCGGACTGTTATATTCTTGTATAAAATAAACTAATTACATTTTCCAGGTTCATACTCTGGCCACAGCACTCAGGATTAAGGCCAGACTGACATCAGATTCACAAACTAGAACAACTGCTAATATACTATAGGAAATAAAAGGTTCTAATATAATTTTTTGGTAAACAAAATAAATTAGTTTGCATAAGTTATTTACTACTATCAGTGGCTTGCTATGCTAAGGTATTTGTAGTAGGCAGCTCTGACCAGGCTGCAAGAGTCACAGAAGTGGACCAGACAAGAAAAGTGAAAGTGAACTCTGAAACTGGTGTGTTGCAGGGTCTGTGGTTCAAGAACGCGGTACACCCAGAGAGACAGAAACATCCCTCAGGTAACCCCCGCTTCCAGCACAAATTACACACGGGCAACGGATCATCACCACAAACAACCAAAACCTTCAAAAGTGATAGAGCCCATCCCCGTTCCCCTGAGCACACAGTCCCTCTCGTCCCTCCCCCTTCGATATGCCCGTACCCCAATGGTCCCAGCCCTCTCCCTCCCCCTCCCAATTGCCCATAATCACCACCCCACCGACCCCAGCCCTCCCCCTTCGCCCTCCCAATGCCCGTCTCCAGAGCCCAGTCCTCCCCATTCCCTGTCTCAGTGCCCGTCCCCGGAGCCTAGCCCTCCCCCTTCTCCCTCCCAGTGCCCATCTCCACAGCCCAGTCCTCCCCCATCTCCTTCCCGATGCACGTCCCATGAGTTCAGCCACCCCCCCTCCCCCTTCCGGTGCCGGTCCCCAGCGCCAAATGAGCTCAGCCTGTTTAACAAGGACCACAGTGGTGCTAACGAGGAACGTTTAGCCCCCACAGGTAACCTCACTGTGCTTTTAATACCACAGTTCTCACTGCCATGTCATGGATATTTCACTGTATTTAAAATGAAAATTGCTCCAATTTGAACTGTATCTGCTAAAGCCTGTTTGAGAGAAGTCAGAAGGACTACTTATTATTCAGATTTCACTGTAGATACTATCACAGCAGTATGTATCTATTGTGTTTATAGTCTAACATAGTCTGCCTCCTGCAGGAGTGTGCAAGGACAAAGAAGAGAAACCTCAGGGCAAAAGAAAGAAGAATGAAGAGCCATCCATCTCCATCCAGCCATATATCACTCCAGCTCCAGAGAGGAGGACAAACTTCTCACTCCCAGCACCCACTGAGCGAGAGAAGGAAGGTGGAGAGGTGAAGGAGGTGCAGGCAGAACCTTTAGTGAAGGAAAAAGAAACTGAGCCAGTTGAGAGAATGCAAAAGAGAGGAAACAATGAGGGTGAGCTGGAGGACGATAAGGTGGTGAAAATAATTCAGGTGGCAGGTAGTGAGAAGGAGCAAAAGGGAGAAGCGAAGGAACTGGTAGTTGGCTCTTTGTTTTCTCCATCCATCTCCTCACCTCCTCCTCGTCCCGTCCGATGTATTGACAGCATCGTGGACAAACATCTGGGCAACTTCTCCTCTGAGATGCAGCTCGTCCTGCAGGAGGAGAGCATTAATTACAACTTCCCACAGTCCCCACACTCCACTTCAAACACAGACGCTACAGCACTTCAGCACACACTCCCACACACTCCCATATCTCAGTTTTCACATTATGTGTCTTTCTACAACCCCAGCCCCCCTGTCCAGGACTATGTTAGCTCCCTACAGGACAGCATTAACAGCATGCTGAAAAAGTTTGGTGAGAGCTGTCCGAGACAGAAGGCTGCCACCAGCCGGACTCACACCGATGCGGCATTGGCTTGCAAAGTCAGTGCTTTTGTGTCCAGCATCAGAGCAGCTAAAGCCAAAACAGGCGGAGAGGATGACGATGATGAACTGACAGCTGCTGACGGCGGTGCTTCAGTCAGTCAAACTCCTGCACTCTCCAGAGGAGGTGAAGCGTGGCAGCCACATACAATCCCCACACCTGATACTACAAACAGCAGGAATACCACAACTTTTCACGTCACTTTACCAGTTACTACCTCTGCGTCTGGTTCTGTCTACAAGCCTACCAACACTGCCGTCCTCCATCCTTCTCCTAACATGTCCCCGCAGTCCCACTGGACGCCACAGCAAAGTCGCACTTTAGAGACTAACAGAACAGTCGCTCATAACATGAGACAAACGCAAGAAAGCAGCGTCACCAGGACTGTGCAGTGTACCGCTGGTGTAGAGAGTGGGAGTAGTCTTGGAGCTACAAGTTGTGAGGGGGCTTTGCCAGGGTTCAGCAGTGTATCGAAGCCCTCGACAGAGTCATCGCACCCCTCCGAGCCGGTCTCCGGGCCCAGCCGAGGCCCCGCTCCCCCAGCCACAGCCCTGAGCTCCCTGATCAGCCAGCTGCAGCCAGAGGTGTTCAACAGCCTGGTGGAGATCATCAAAGACGTCAAGAGAAACTCCCTGCAGTTCTACCTCCACAGCACCGAGCCAGAGGACCGGGTGTATGAGGACATCAAGGTAACTTATCAGGCAGAATAGTTCAGAGTAAATGAATAATAGACCTTTTTCACAGCAGCCATTTTTGACATGAAACACAGGTGTTGTATTGTACTTATTAAGGTTTTGTTCCATTCAGGTCAAACAGAGTCAGGATGCTGCTATTCTGCATATTAGCCCACTAGAAAGGCCCTGTACACTAAATAGACTGGGACCTTAATTAAAATCATATGTAACACCTGTGTTTACCCAATGTGAAAATGGCTGCTGTGAAAAAGGTCTATTTATTAAATATATTATATTGGTACATATACATGATCTTTATTTCATCTACAGTCTACCGTTAATCAGTCCTTCATAAGTGAATATTAATTTAGAGGAAAATAGTTAGGAAGGTAATTTCATCCCAAATAAACAAACATTAATAAATAAATAAATAAACACAGACACCAGTGATCTGGTCCCACAGACTGGAAAGTAATGGCAGAGATTTATAAAGAAACGAGGTATTACTGATGTAGACTGGTTGTATATTTGTGTAAATTCAGTGTATGTGTGCGTGTTCTTCTGTTGTAGGAACACCTGTTGAAGCAGGGTAACGTGGAGCAGAATCCCACGGCCTTTTTAAACCAAGAAAACTCAACAACAGTCAACAGACTGATGGTCATCATTAAAAACAAAGACATCGCTGAGCACATACACAAGGTAACAACTGATTCTGTTTCTGTGTGTCCTCCCTGCTGGTGACAGCTAACAATGTGGATGATCCAGGTCTCATATGAACAAAGTCCCGATTGTTCTGAAGGTTACATGCACGTCCCAGGAATGAATATCACACGATGAGTCTTTGATCTTTTCGTATTGTTAACTTAGTGCTCTCTGTTGGTTTTCACTTTGTCAATCTATACTTCAGTTTTGTTCCTCACTTGCAGTTCCCCAGGGCGTTCAGTAAATGTTCTGTTGCTTGGTGTTTGTCAGCCTTGATTTGACAGGTGGGCTGCAGTTTGTTTTCCCTCTAGGACCGTGTTAGCTTGCCAGGTGTTTAGTGTCTAGCAGTCACTCAAAGGTAGCTGCCCCTAACCAATAAACAAACCAGTGTGGTTAGTTTGGTTCCTCACCGCAGTGACGAGGCACTGCCAGATGGGTGTACTGACTAATTGACTTGAGGCCCTCTGGGATCACCCTAAACCCTCTCGTCTGTAAAGGTGCAGGAGCCTCTAGGCACTCAGATCAGGTCTTTGTCTGCAGCGACAGTGGCAGAGAAAGTGGAATGAGTTGTCGCCCCCTAGCTGATACAGCTGTTGTATGCAAGTTTCAGTTCCTCTGTGCTGTTGTGAGCAATGCAAAATCCCCTCAGAGCACATATGTTGACATTTGTGATGTGTTTCCTGGTAACTGTAGACCATTTTAGCATTAAGCAGTTATGAAATGTTATGAAATCTTCTTAGTGAGCTTATTGTTCTTGTGTTGGTGATAGTTTTATCTGTGTTTTTGTATTTATTACATAACCACGATGAAATACTGACTAAAAACATTTATTGTGGCTTCCATTTAGTTTTGCTTTTGCCCCTATTTTTTTCTCTTCTTCTCAAAGAAATCTCTTGCTGATTTTGGTAGTGAGGCTTTTATTTGTGTTTTGGGACGATCAATAGAGAGAATTCAAACCTGTAACAGTTGGGACACAAGAATACATAAGTTTGTTCATATGAGATCTCAGTCTGTTCAGTGCTGAGACACATCTACTTTGTGTACTGGTTCTGGAAGGACTCCACTATGATTGGTTTAGTTACCGCTATCGTAACTTTGGTTAAGTTGTCGTCTTGTTTTTCATGCGGACAGATGCACAGTAGACTAATTTACTGAGCGTTTAATAGCCAAACTGAAAGGGGACAGACAGGAAGTGTGTTCATGTGTTCATGTGTTTTGTGTTTGAACACATCAGGTTCCAGGTCTGGTGTCTCTGAAGCGACACCCCACTGTGGTGTTTGTGGGAATCGATACACTGGATGACATCAGGCACAACAGCTACAACGAGATCTTTGTTTCTGGAGGCTGCATCGTTTCTGACGAGTTAGTCCTCAACCCAGACTACATCACTCACGGTAGGTCAGGGTTTGAATCCAACAGCAGAATCAAACAATCTGTTTCTAGTTCACTTACTTACTTTCTTCTTACACTTCTTAGTCCCACTTAAAACATAAAACTGAGAATCTTATTTTCAGGAAATACACAAATAATGTATTATTGTGGTGGAAATATTTTGTTTCGTCAGGCCTTTTGTAAATTATGAGACATGTTACTTACGGTGGACTTGTTGTTTGTATTTGAACTGATGTGTTATTAATGAGATGTTGTTCTGCAGATCGACTGGCTGCACTGTTGATGCTCCTGGAACAGCACAGTTCTCCAGAGAGCGTCTGGAGGTGGAAGATTCACTGCAAAACCCACAAGAAATTAAAAGAACAAGCCAGGTACTGATCTGATTCTGTGTCTACACTAATAATGGAATATGTTTAATGACTTATAACCGAATCTACAGCTGCACTCTTATACTGCATTGAATTGGACTTTATTAAAGCCCCACACAGGCTCTCCCAGGAATGATAAAGACAGTTTACGTTCTCTCTACTACACCCTGCAGTTGGATTGCAGATCATTTGGGCTCTGAACTATTTAAAAGTACAGACAGGGAAGTAGGTCTTCTAAGGTGTGTGTATGTTCCTGTTGTTGTCAGGTTCAGGAGAGATGCAGCCAACCTCCTGGACCTACTGTCAGCCTATCAGAAGCGGCAGATCGTCGAGTTCCTCCCGTATCATCACTGCGATATGATGAACCATCAGTCACCTGACCTGAACTGTCTCATGGAGCTCCAGGCCCGATACACACAGTATCGACACACTGTCCTCTTAACCGGTACGTATGTGTCCGGACCAGTGTTAATCAATACCAGTGATTACCTGATTGGGTGGTGTAAAGTGTAGCGATGGTGTTACTTCTCTTTGTTTTTCTATCAGAGAGTCCTTTTGAGAAGTTTCCCGCCTACTCCAGCGGCGGCATCATCGTGGCCAGTGTTGACAAAATTCTACAGGACTTCACCAGAGTGGTCGGTTACCATGACATCAAGGACAAGCAGCCGATCGTAGATGACATGCTGTCTCCTAAAGGTCAGCTGTGGCAATTTGACATATTTTATTTAAATTGTAGAATAAAAAAAAAAAGACATTGCTTGATTATATCAGTGTGATGTTAAAGCACAACCATCCCGACACACTGAGTTTAAATGATCATCAGCGTCAACGTATAATTCTTGAAGACTCCAGACTCCATCGCTTCAGCATTTCACTTCTATATCACTGGTTCTGCAGCGAAACTGTACATAGTGAGTCTGGCAGAGATATCCTCATCTTCTTCCTTTGCAAAAACCTTGTGCCTAAATTACCCACAAAAAGAAGTTGCCAAATGAGTGTATGATGATGAATGAATGATCTGCACCAGCTGATGTGTTTACTGCTGTTCACTCCTGCTTTACCTCGTCTGTGCTTGTGAAGAATCCTCCGTATCTGCACCAGAGAGCGTCTGTCTCTGTTTCGCTGCAAAGCAGGAGCGATTGTCGATAGACTGAACAGGAGGTGTCCTGTCAGGTCGGGGAGATCCTGAGTACTTCTGGTGCTGTAAAAAACGAGTGTGTACTGAAGTCTCAGTTCTTGTGACAAACCTATGCAGTAGCTCTCCAGAAGACCTGTAAACAGACTTAAATGTGTAAAATCTGTAGTTTTTTTCCCCTTTTAAGTATTCATCAAGTAGTCATTTGAAAGTGGCAAATAAATGTCTTTGCATAAGTAGCTAGCGTTACAAAACAAATCGTTAAATTGGGACCCAAAAAAAGCTCCAGTCTAGATCCTCCTGCTGCGTTCTCTGATGTCTCCCCACTTACTGTCGTCTCCTTGTGTTTTACTCCTTGCTCTCCTCTGTCCTCAGGTCTGGGCAGGCAGCTGAGTCGCAGTGACTCTGTGTCGGGCTCTGAACGCTCGCCCTCTATCTTCCCAGAACACATCCGCTCCCTCTCACCCCATGATCAACCCCAACATCTCCTCCAGCAGTCCGGCTCCGGCCTCCCCCTCCTCTCACATCTCTCTGACCAGCTTGTCCCCGACGCCTCCTGTAAGGAAGGGGTGCCGCACCATTCAGGCACAGACTTTGAGGTTCTTCGACTGGCCATCTCACAGTTACGGGCTGAACGCCAGGCGCAGCTGCAGCAGCAGCAGCGGTTCGACTCCCAGGCAGAGTTGAGCATCAACCCCCTAAAAAGATTCCTTCCCAATCCTGTTCATACAGGAAGCCGACACACCAGTCCTGTTTTAAGTCAAGGAGGCGCTTCTGAGTCGGTCACTCCTGGTAAGAAAGCCGTGGCAGCCACTCTGGAGTTGATCCACTCAGACCTGCAGCTGGGGCTGGGCGAGGAGGAGGTGAAGGCGGGCAGAGCAGAGGGACAGAGGAGTGGAGGAAGTCAAGGAGGAGGAGGAGGAGGAGTAGAGTCTGGAAATCAGAGAAATCCCAGTAATGGCGACAAGTCGAAATCTTTGTCCAATCAGAACACAGCTGCAGGGACGGGAACAAATATCCTGACAGACTCGACCAATGACGGGAGAGAAAAAGATCAACAAGCAGAATCTGTGTTTCCCAAAGCAGCTAAACATAGTGCAGCATCTGCCAGTACCACAGCTTGTCCTGTAGAGGGCGACAGATCAAGGTGAGTAAACGATAACGGATTACACTTCAGTTGTAACATTTAAACTGGTGAACAAGGTCGCTGTCATTGTCATCCTGAATTATAATTTATAGGCTGATAAATAACATCTCAGTCCCTCAACTGGTTTGTCTTAAACCGTAAACATACAATATGTAATTACATATCAAAACAATAACAAAAGATGAATTTGTATGCTGTCATGATACTGGGGATCATGGGAGTTGTCTTCACCATCATTGCAGTCTACATTAAAGACAAAATAAATCGGTGTTCCCTTAAAAATCAGTGTTTTTAAGAGTTATAACGTGATCTCATTAAAACCTGCAACTGAGCGAATACACTGCCGTTCATCAACTCCTGCAGTTCGCCTGTATGTTACAGCTGAACCTCTTCCTGTTTCCCTCCTGTAGAGACACGCAGTCGGGCCAGGAGCAGCCAATAAGCGGAGAGGGAGCACCACCTGGCAACAACAGCAGCGTGGGACCTGCCAGTACCAGCAAGGTAACAGACCAGGAGGACGACCCTGTTCCCCGTTTACAACAGATCCAGCAGCTCCAGCAGAGTCTGTCCCAGCGACAGCAACCGCCTCACAGCCAGCAGCGGGTCCAAAGCCTCCTGCCTCCCCCCCACATGCAGCCCCCCCACCTGCATCAACTCCCCAACCAGCCTTTCTCCCACGGCCCCTTCCTGGCGCCCCTGACTGCAATGGGAGGTGGCCTCCTGGGGCCCACGCCTGTCTGGCCAGGGGGTTTGGGCCCCGCTGGCCTGGTCTGGGGCTTCCAACAGGGTGGCAGGGACTATGCTGGTTCTAGACTGCTGGGGGGGTACCACAACCCTGCAGGTCAGGGCAGCAACAGGTACAGAGGGGGGCAGAGAGGAGGGGGCTTTAACGGGATGTAGAGCCATCCAGTTTAAACTACACCAGCTGATTAACCCAGGTAACACTCCTCTCTGACCTCTACACACCGGCAGCAGGTTTAGGAGGGGGAAGAAAACCAAAAACTAAACACCCAGACTGTGCAGAACCTCATTGTAGTCAAAGGAAGAGGCTGAAACTGTGCATGCAGGCTCCCATAGGTCTCTATTTATGTGTGATGTCCAACCCTGATCCAGGACTGTCACATGTCACAGTTCTGGATCTCCAAGAGTCTGGTCAGTCGGGTTTGTGAGATCGGTTACAGAAGGAATGTTGAACTCTTTTACTATCATAAACAATGACACATTTTTACAAAAACAAAGATTTCTTGGTGAGGCTGTTTGTTGACCTCTTACAGTTTGTTAGTTTATCAGTGAGGCAGCAAATCCATCCAGAATGAACCCAAACAGAGAAAACTGAGATCTACTGTGTGGGTTGCGTTCAGATAGCTCAGAATGAATGTTTTTCTTTCTTTCTTTCTTTGAAAAGGTGAAAGTCCTAATTTGCACTGACTTTGATAGAAGGGACGTTTCTTAGTTGTAGTAAATCGTGTTGTTTTGTTACCTTTTAAAGCCACAAAGATTATCTCCCATCCAGTGAATATATATTGTTCAGTATTCTTCCTGTAGCCAATGTTATGAACCTGTGAGTGACTGAAATGTCTCATGCTCTTCATCAGACAGCCCTCTGACTCTCTAATAAAATGTAGATAACACCTCTGAATGCCCCCTAAATGAACACCCCTCTTCGGTTTGATGCCAGTAAAAATAAACCCTCACACAGCAAAGAATCAGCTGCTGTAGAGTTTGGACGGTTAGTGGAAACCTACTGTTTGTTATCTACTGTAACCACTACCTGTTCACCCGTTAGTACTTAAAGAAGTCACATGTAGAAGGCCAAAAAAAAAAAAGAGGAAATGCCTCTACTGTTTCTCTGCCATGTTTTCAGATCTTTTATAAAATCTCACTGAACGAGATCAGACATGTACATAAATACATTCTCAACTCTGCCTCATAGAGACCATGTTCTGTCTGGATCAGCGGTCTCCCGTTTAATTGGTTCAAGTGAGTATGATTAATCTGTTTTGTCTCTGTACACCGCTCTGATTCAGAGCATTGACTGAAATGTTCCTCTGGTGGGATTTTCTTTCTTGAATGCACCCCGCCCTGTTTGTTTGGACACTTTTTTTGGACTGGCTGTGTTTTTCACACTGTGGAACGATAGATAGTTGTGTATTTGGGTGCAGGAGGGGGGCGGACTCTGAATGTTTCTCGAAGAAACCCTGAAAGTTTATTCCAGCAAATTCATCTCTTAAAAGGTACCTTTGACGATGTTTTCTACAGTGAAGAAACATAAGCTGCTCATTTGTTCTCTTTGCCTCGTGGGAGACTCCGAGACGCAACCTGGTTTCTTGAAGTGGAAACTGAGACAATGGAAGAACTTTAATAAAAAAAATAAAAAAAAACCCTCTAAAGGAAGAAGATGGACGGACTGCCTTACACGTCTTCCAGTGGACACTTTATGTCTTGTTTTTTTTTGTACTGAAAGTTTAATTTGTTCCCCTGGGAGCTGTTTGTGTTTAGTTTGCTGTTGTATGTACAGTAGGAAGTGACTCTGTAACTGACTGGTTTTAACTTAAAAAGTCATTTTTTATGTTTTTTTTACATCAGAGGTGTTTTGTATTAAAACTTGCTTGCGTAAACCAGCGAGTTTTCCCCGAGATTTTCTTTTACCTTGAGATCGAGCTGCTGCGTGACGGAAACGTCAAATCATTGTGCGGGCAGCTTCAAGTCCTCGTGACACGGGACTATAATCTGAAATTATTCTAAATGTATGAACGTTGTTTTAGAGTCTACATTAAAGCATACCTTTATTTCATCGTTAATATAATCTAAAAACAGTGTTTCTCAATATAAAATGTTAGACTCCCCAAGTTCCACCATTATGAACAGACATTAAAATACAGTAGGGTAGGCTGACTCTATTCAGCTACTGACAGTTCACACAGGCAGCAGGTTTATTCCTCAAAGGATTATTTATTATTGACTGAAAGGAACTGGTTCAAGAATTTGGTGGAAAGGGGAAACTCCTAGTCCACACTTCCCCTCACAATAACTCCTGTTTGTAGCTTCAATTGCGGTGCTTTTGAACATTTTACCTCCTTTTACTATCTTGCCTTCACATTTTAACTCAAAACTGTAAGCGTGACTACATAGCAGGCTGATACTGAAACTAAATATTACAGGAAATGCACAATTTATTTCATTCAAATGATTGTAGTATTTTTATCGTTCAAGTTTAGAGGGATGTTTAGAGGGAGCTCACATACCACTGGTGGTAAATCTAAAATACACATTTTTACCCTGTTAAAGCAAGATATCTATTTTGTGGGAACAAGATAATAACATAAGATATACAGTTGGTCTCACACACACACTTAGGTCTTAAAAAGTATGTAGCTACCCTGAAAATGAATATGAAACATACTGACTGAGGTCCTGAAGAGTCAGTCATCGTTGTTCTGAGGCAGAAAAAGAAGGTATTTGCTCCACAGGAAGTTGCCTGAAGACCTTCAAAGTACCTCAAACTGGTAGTAGTGGTACTACATAGTACTATGTATGTATCTGCCAACACCTGAAGCCAGAAGCAAAGATTTTCTACATGAGGCCTTCAAAAAACCAGGTCAGTCAATACAGTAATGAAGTGAAACAGGGCTGCAATAAATGATTATTTTTAATATTGATTACACTTGAGTTTTTTAATTAATGATCAGTTGTTTCATTAATAAAATATTAGAAAAATGTCACAATTTCTCAAAACCCAGGTTGATGTGTTCATATTACTTTTGTCCAACAGTCTTAAACTAAAAGTTTACACTGACCGTTTATAGGGATTTTCTTGCCATTTTTTGCTTAAACCAATTGGTACAAGAATATGCTAACATAAGATAATTTAAAGTATAATGTAATCTTTTTAAAAAGATCTCCTATTTTCTCTTTGCTGTAAAATGTTGCTGTTTGTTATCAGTGAGTAAACTCAATGCTTCCTCTGTCTGTTTCACAATAAAAGCCTTTCAGCAGCTCGGGAGGATGTGTTGAGCCTAAAAGTGAAACGTCGGATTGTCGACTTCTTCATAGTGAATTCACCCTGAGCCCGGATCTCAGCCGCTTATGGTGAGAAAATATAAAAAAACACTTGATTGGATTCTATTAGACACTTAATATTTAATCACTTCTGACTGAGCTCCTTGACTTTTATTTATTTAATGTTTATTTACCAGGAGAAATTCACAATATTGTCCAAGATAAAGCTAAAAGCTAATCCGTAGTGCCTGGGTCAGGGGTCTGAAAACTGTATATCACACTATTATATTCTCTTCTTATGAGGGGTCAGGACATAACAAATGAATAATTTCATGTACAGACCATTTTAGTGACGTGGAGTTACAGATAAAAGATCAGCAGTAAATCAAAACCTTACAGTCTGTAAGAAACAGACATGATGAATGTTAACAGTGGATTCTAACACTGGTGTATAGCTACTGTAAATCAGATCTTAATTTTACAACCTGACTGCTTTAACATTTCTACCTGTATAATGTGAACAAAGTATAAACCCAGATAACGTTTGACCTTTCAGACTCATAAATACTGGGTTTGTTTGTGGACCTGAGAGCTTGTAGGATTTAATGCTCATGATCCTGTGAAACTAGAGCAGTTTCATCAATTAATATACTTCATTTGTTAATGTATATATTTGTAATAGCTTCTTAAACCAGGTGCTTCACGCTCTGTTGGAAGTAATACAGTAATACACTGTGGCTTTAACAGTTAAGTTGTGTTTGCATCATTGTGTTCAACCTACATCCTGTAAGTTTCCAAAATAAAATAAATCCAAACAAAGTGCAGTTGTAAGAAATGTGAAGGGTCTCAGTGCACTTATTTATTCTCAATTATTTATTACACTTACAATAAATAAAAAAAATACACTGACACAATACAAACTTTAAAAAAAGATACATTACAATAACACAGACGCTCCTCGTCCAGCAGGAAGCTGAAACAAAACAACTTTGATTCATGATTTAAATAAGTGGACTGTCCTCTGTCCCCGACCCCCCGAAGAAGAATAAAAGGTGACGGTAACTCTCAATACCTGTTTGGTACTGTGTCATTCTTTTAGAAAGTGCATCAAAAACAGAATTTTAAAATACAATCGTCACAGGAAATATTACTCGTCCACATAAATTCAGTTAGTGAGCAGGAGAAAACATGAGCGGTACTTTAGTTTCATTCGTGTTGTAAAGGTGTTGATGTGAGGTAGAGCTGATGGAGCAGACTTAAAAAGGAAACACTGAGGTGTTTGTAATCAATCAGTCAAAGTTAAAAGTGCTCGTGTTGAACCTGCAACTCACATTCCTGTTGTCAGAATTTAAAAACATTTTAAACTCAGGTCTGATCAGACAAAGCAAATGTTAGTTACTGTTACTGTAGTAAATATAACCTCCAAAGTAAAGAATCTGCTGCAGTGGTTATTCAAGTGAAACGTAAACCCTGTACGTAAACTCACGCTGCGGCACTCGTCCAGTTTCAGAGGACACTGCTGGTCTTCTGTTGAATGTTCTCCATGACAGCTGGTTGAAACATTCTTCATTGTCAGCACACACAGGTCAGAGGTCATCGGAGCTCGTTGTCATGGCGCTTCAGTAGAGGATTCAGATCCGTCTCCAACTCCCTCTGCTTCTGTAATAAACCCTGAAAACACACAAACATTCATTGGTACATCTGTAGGATCCTTACTGAGGGTGCACATTTTCATCCTGTTGAGTTCACCTTCACATTGTTTATGATGATCAGGTTTTAGGAGCATCCTGGTTATTGATTATAGATGATTTATCCTGGTTTCAGAAACCTGTATCAGCTCTTATTCCAGTTAAATCTACACATCAACATCTGGTTCACAGTTCAATATAAATACAGATGTTTTCTGCTTTTGGTTTAACAATGTCATACGGTTAGAAGATTTAGGGCTACAATAAATAATTTTACTGTCCAATAATCAGTCAGATATGTTTTTATTAATAAATGGGTAAATACAATTTCAGAAATAATTTATAAAATTGCCAATCACATGTTCTCAGAGCCCAAGACGACGTCTTTAAAACCCAAAACTATTCAGTTTACAGTCACAGAATAAATCTTTACATTGGAGAAGCTGGTTTTTGGATGAACTTTCTTTGACCTCTTAGTTTTCATCTTTTCCTCGGTTTGTGTTTT